GCGTGGGGGGAGGGGCTGCAGGGGAGACACGTTACACAGAAGTAAAGATCGAATTGATTATAGTTTTCTTGTCAGAAAATATGCAAGCGAAAATGTAATGGAATTATATCTCAGAGTTTAAATTTCACAAAATAAATACTTTAAAAAGAAATAGAATTGAGAAGTCTGGGTGGCTCAATCATTTAAGCATCTGACTTTGGCTCAGGTCATGATCTTGCAGTTTGTGAGCTCGAGCCCCGCATAGGGCCCTGAGCTCACAACTCAGGCTGTGAACTGTGAGCCTGCTTCAGATTCTGTGTCTCCCTCTGTCTCTAATGCCCCCTTCTCGCTCGCACTCTATCTCTCAAAAATAAACAAACATTAAAAAATATACACACACAAAGAGAAATAGAGTTGGCAGTACTTATAGGAAAACACATGCTGTTTGGAGGATACTTCTTGACCATTAATAATAAGATGGAAATGCAAGGAGAGAACATATTCAGGTTGACAGAACTTTAGAATTGGTGACCTTTGTTTTTTGTTTTTTGTTTTCAATATATGAAGTTTATTGTCAAATTCGTTTCCATACAACACCCAGTGCTCATCCCAAAAGGTGCCCTCCTCAATACCCATCACCCACCCTCCTCTCCCTCCCACCCCCCATTAACCCTCAGTTTGTTCTCAGTTTTTAAGAGTCTCTTATGCTTTGGCTCTCTCCCACTCTAACCTCTTTTTTTTTTTCCTTCCCCTACCCCATGGGTTTCTGTTAAGTTTCTCAGGATCCACATAAGAGTGAACACATATGGTATCTGTCTTTCTCTGTATGGCTTATTTCACTTAGCATCACACTCTCCAGTTCCATCAATGTTGCTACAAAGGGCCATATTTCGTTCTTTCTCATTGCCACGTAGTACTCCATTGTGTATATAAACCACAATTTCTTGACCCATTCATCAGTTGATGGACATTTAGGCTCTTTCTGTAATTTGGCTATTGTTGAGAGTGCTGCTATAAACATTGGGGTACAAGTGCCCCTATGCATCAGTACTCCTGTATCCCTTGGGTAAATTCCTAGCAGTGCTACTGCTGGGTCATAGGGTAGGTCTATTTTTAATTTTTTGAGGAACCTCCACAGTTTTCCAGAGTGGCTGCACCTAGAATTGGTGACCTTTGTAGTTAGGTATGGAAGAAGGCTGAGTGATGCCAGCAGATCGGTAGGAAAGATCTCATAATTTTAAGAGGTTCGCTGTAAGGAGAAGCAAATTTCACAGAATTTTTTCAAATGAAAAATTTAATGACGTGTTAGATTTTTATAAGAATGACCCCAATTAAACATAACTCAGATTTCCCACACTTCCTCGAAATGTGAATGTGAGGTTTTTCCCAATGAGAAGCAGAGATGAGCTCTCCAATTTTTAAATCTAGAATAGCATTGTGACTTGCTTTGAGTCATTTAATGGAACAAAATTAATATCATGTGAGTTTCAGAGACTAGGTTTTAATACATAATACATGTACTATACCTCTTGAAATCTGGAAACCACTTTGCTGTAAAGGAGCAGAGTTTAACCAAATGAGAGGAAGAGAGGTCACATGGAGGTACATTAAGGCAGCATGACCAACAGCATATATAAGCAAATGCATATGAAGCAAGTCATATTGGATCTTCCAACCCCAGTGAAACTATCAAATATTTGCAGCTTCGTGAGTAATCCCTGGAGAAAATCAAACAATGACTAGGTTGGCAACTGACAAAATTGTGAAAAATAATAAACCCTTTCTGTTTAGAGTCACTAAATTTTGGTTACTGTTTTTTTTTTGTTTGTTTTGGTTTTGTTGTTGTTTATTTTGTTTATTTTTATTTTTTTTTCAACGTTTATTTATTTTTGGGACAGAGAGAGACAGAGCATGAACAGGGGAGGGGCAGAGAGAGAGGAAGACACAGAATCGGAAACAGGCTCCAGGCTCTGAGCCATCAGCCCAGAGCCTGACGCGGGGCTCGAACTCCCGGACCGCGAGATCGTGACCTGGCTGAAGTCCGACGCTTAACCGACTGCGCCACCCAGGCGCCCCTTGTTTTGTTTTTTAATTCAGAGCAATAGATAACTGAATCAGAAATCAGTTCCAGAGGTGGGGTGCTACCATAACTAAAACATAAAACATGTAGCAATGACTTTTGAATGAATTAGGGGGCAAGAGGCTGGAAGGGAGGTGATACTGTTAATGGAGGCATGAGGAATAGTGAGAGATTTGCTGTTAGAGACTATTGTAACTTAGAAGATCCAAAAACTATCTAGTAAACATGCAGTTAGCCAAAGCAATTTCCAGACAGAGAGTTGCAAATTCTAATTGGCTTCTTTCAGCTGCATATGATACATCATTACAAGAGAGAGATAAAGGGAAAAAAAAGTTCAATACCTAAAAGAATCTAGAGTAAATGGAAAAGGGCCAAGTGATTTTCTGAAGCCCCCCCCAACCAAAAAAAAAAAAAAAGAGAAATGAGAAATAGCCTTAGAGTAAATATGGAATGAAGGGTAGGTTTGTAAGAACCCTTGTTAAAATCTTTGACATAGTGAAAACATTTCTTTGTAGAACTCCTCTAAAATAAAAATGAGTCTGTTAAGAACATTAAGGGTGAGTGGCACCTAGATAGCTCAGTCCATCTCTTGATTTCGGCTCAGGTTATGATCTCACTGTTCATGGGTTCGAGCCCTGCATCAGGCTCTGCACTGATGGTGTGAAGTCTGCTTGGGATTCTCTCTCTCTCTTCCTCTCTCTCTGTCTGCCCTTCCCCCACTCTCATGCACTCTCTCTCTCAAAGTAAATAAACTTAAAAAAAAAAAAAAACATTAAGGGCAATGTCTCACAACTTTCCCACAAGTTGACCCAAAGGAGAGAGACATGACTCAAAACACATACCACAGTTCATTATAACTGCTCTCACAGAATGTATGAATGACTTCAAATGAGAAACCTTAAAACAAAATAAGTTGAGTTCCCCAAATTCACCAAATTATTTCAAAAACACATAAGACCAGAATTTCTTACCTTGGAAAAAATGTTTTTACCAAATGTAGTTCTCACTCCCTGTTCCACAGATTTTCAAATCAAAATTTTATTTGCATTGGTGCAACCACATTTCCCAAGATAGATTTTTAAGCTACCATAATTTTCACATATAACTCACTGACAAAAAAAAAAAGGTTTTGTAGCAGACTGAACTTGAGAAATTCCTTAATGTGCAGGTCAGCTAGTCATTTATACAGGTAGCTGAAGAGTTTTTGTAAGAAAGTGCACCATTGCCTAACTTGCAGTATTATGCATATTTGGTAATGAAATTGCTAACTACTGTCAAAAACAAGGTCACAAAAATATAAAGAGAAAAACAGTAAGTCAACCAATGAAACCCATCCAAACATTGCAGTAGGGAGTATCAAGGTTTAAGGTGGCTCTGATCCCTTAGGCTCCCCATCCAACAGATGCCATTTAATAAAAGAAGGCAGAAATCCAAAGAAACAATAACATACACGGGCAAGAATTGGAAACAGAGGCTCCAGGGAACTCCAGATGATTTCATTTAGAAGAGCTCTGCTGCTTATTTCCTTTGAAATGACACTTCGCTTTTGCTGTTCTATCCTAAGGCACGCCATCCTGAAGACAATGGAAAATTCCTGAGAAGGGAGCATTTCCTCCTTTCTCTTTTAAAATTTATTTTCCAAATCTCTCCTTATCCTGTTGAAAACCAATAAATAAAATACTTCACACTCTCACTATAGAACCCCCTTCCTATCTTGGAAAAATACACAAAGGAAGTAAAAAAAAAAAAATCCTTCTGTTTTCAATCTCACACTTCAGGCATCTGCTTATGAACCAGAAAGTCTGGAATCACAAGAAAGGAATAAAAGGCAGGAGAAAGAGTTCATGTTAGGCTTGCAAAGCTTTCAAATAAGCAGCTGAGTAAAATAACCAGTACAGATTGATTTTAAATTAGCCTATTCTATTAAGTAAACATGGTTTCCAATTCTGGACACAGAATTTGTCATTAGACTTATGACAAATAAATGAATGTCTTATTCAAATGTCCATTTGTGTTTTTTTTAAATTGTTTTTTAACATTTCTTTATTTTTGAGAGAGAGAGAGAGAGAGAGAGAGAGAGCACAAGTGTGTACAAGGGGGGAGGGGCAGAGAGAGAAAGGGAACAGAGAATCCAAAGCGAGCTCTGTGCTGACAGCAGAGAGTCCAATGTGGGGCTTAATCCCACGACTGGTGAGATCATGACCTGAATCGAAGTCAGATGCTTAACCAACTGAGCCACCCAAGTGCCCCGGTCTACTTCTCATGCATTCTGCATGCTCATTCTGTCTTCATTACATAGAATTACATGTATATTTGAGAGCTTGTAAAGATCTTTAAAGCTACCTCTTCAAGGTATTTACTTTACAAATGAGGAAAATGAGTTTTCTGTAGAATAAGTAATATTAAATAACAGATTTGGAGCAGATATCTATGTTTTGTGGCTTATTGAGGATTCATTCTACTATAGCATAGTCTTTAAGTAGGTATATGATTACCGTTATAAGGAACCGCCAAACACTTCTCCAATTTGGTTTTATTATTTTACCCAATGGAAACATATGAAATCTCCAGTTTTGTTCTATACCACGCCAACATTTGTCATCATCAGGCTTTAATTTTTTTTAGCTATTCTATTAGTTCTAAAATGGTTTACGGTTGTCATTTTAATTTGCATTTCCTTGATGGCTGCTTATGTTGAGCACTTTTTTTCAGGTGTCTATGTGCCATTGGTATATCTGCATTTGTGAACTATTATTTAAGGGTTTTTTCCCCATTTCTTTTTTTATTTTTGTTCAATTATCTTTTCATTGTTAATTTGTAAGAGTTCTTTTCATATTTTTAATATAAGTCAACAGACAGAAGTGTTGTGAAAACAATTTTTTGCCTTCTGCGTGTTTATTTGTCTTCTTAATTGTATTTTTGGATAGAAGAGATTGGATGAGGGAGATTTCCCTAAACTTTCCTGGTAGATGACATCCGAAAGAGCCTCCCGTGGATGAGAAGGAAAGTCTCTAGTGAATTTCTATATCTTAACCAGAAGGAAAAGTCTGTTTCATCCAATTTTAAAGTGTCTTCACAAAGTTAGAAAACATAAACAGATCACTCCTGTCTATCAGGAACTCAGCTGAGCAGATGACAGACCTGAGCTGTCAGGTGTCAGAGTAACTAATTAAAAACAAGGAACCAAAATGAAAGTGATAGTGAAGTCTCTCATCACTGACTGTGAAAGGATAAACCGGTCTAACCCAAAGGACTTGCCAGCTGCCCACTGTTCCATTTTCCCTCATGGAAGATCGTGCTGGTCAAAGGTCAGGTAGATCAGCATCCGTGTGGGACTCATCTCACTGCCTGAACAAAAGGATCGAGTTTTATGGACCCTGGAGACCAAAGGAGAGGGCAAAGAGGAAGAACTAGGAGTTAAAGGTACTGAATTAAGTCAGAGGAGAATCATGTCTTCAAGGTTTTCTTCTCCTCCCTTTCACCCTTGTTAAAGAGACCTAGTGTGGCCCAGGAGCCACATTCCTCATTGCCTCTCTTTGGAGACAGAAACATCAACTATCTGCAATACAATGGTGTTTAAATGATTGAATATAAGACATTTTATATCTAACACTTCAATATGGTATCATTGAAACCTTCATGATCTGGAATAACCCGTGTTTGAATCATAGCTTTGTCAGGTGATGTTGGAAAAGTCACATTTCATCATCTATAATATGTGGATAATAATAGAACCCATTCCCCAAGGTTATTGTGACAATACCTGCAAAGCTCTGCAAACAGGTCCTGCCATTTTGTAATGGCTCAATTAATGTTAGCTTTTTTGTTTTGTTTTGCTTTATTCTAACCAGCTTTTATCCTGTTAATCCCTCAGACATTCAGTAACATCCTGATAGGAATCAATTATCAGCCAGAATCTGCAAGATTTTTAGAAAGTACTGCTGTATAAGATGGGGAACTGTGGCCTCATACAGTACACAAAGAATTATGAAGGGGTGAGAAATCTGCATGCTCTCTGTCATCTTTGTGCTCCAGTTCAGCTCTGTTCTCAAAGCTAACATACCTCAGATAGTTTTTGTAACTAACACAGCTTTCTTTATCCCTATATTGAAGGAAAAAAGGCAGGCACCAAGAAAAATGAAATAAAGGCATAGATTTTTTAGACAGTCTTTTTTTTATCAAGTCTAATTTATTAGCTATGTTAACGCAAGCAAATTACCAGAACTATCTGAGTTCTTCACCTATATGTAATGGAGGAAATAAAACTTATTTAGGGCATATGGATGTATATTTTAAAAACTGAGTACAATTCTTAGTGTATATATAAGGCATTCAATAAATAATAGCTATTATTTAATTACTGTTAATATCAAAGAATGATAGTCTTGTTAGTGTGAATATTTAATGCTCAATCCTTATCTGAATATTTACTGAATATTTGGGTATCCAAATCTTTTCACCTGTTGCTATGAGGCAAATTCTACAATAAAATTTTCTAATGTGCAATTCTTTTTCTGAAGTGTAAGTTTATATTATAATCATACTAATCTTGTTTTGTGATCTATATTAAATATCACAGTGTCTCTGAACCCAAAGAAATGTGAAGTTTTTTAACCCAAGGGAATCAAATATATTTATTTTTTACTATTAATCTTTCCACAAATTCCTGAGTGTTTTAGTTTTCTCTTCATGGCAAATAAGTAACCAAATGCTTTTTAACAAGGTAGCTCGGGAGTCCTGTGCAACTAACAAATGAACCTTTTCTTGTTAAAACCACATTCTCCATGTAGTGCTACTTATCTGAGGGGCCTATGATGGGCTCCTGAAACTTTATTTTAGTGGTCAGTTTGCGGGTGCCAAATGCAGGTACTGGCACAGACTCTTTAACTTTGGACTGCCTAAGAGCGGCGAATAAGTTTTTCATTATGATTAAGCCCCAAAGACAGCTTCATGTGCAGCTGCACAAGGTCTCACACTAAGAAGGACCCCACACTTGATTAATTGTCTTGAACTCCTTAATCATTTTCTAATAAAGGCTTCACATTTGCATTTTGCACTGGGCCTTATAAGCCCATAATAAGTTAACACAAACTGTTTGCATTCATTCCATATTATTACGTACAATGAAATATTAAAGTTTTACTATGAATTTCCACAATAGTCTTAAGTTTCTCTTCCTTCAGAAAAGGCAATGAGCCTGAACATGGGTAACTGTGGTCTAGATCGCTGTGGTCTAGATTGGGTTTTCTTGTGTATGCTCCATGTTTTTCTCTGCTGTTTGCACTGAGATGTGGGTCTTGTTTACGTCTATAACTAAGTATTAAGCAGTGTTTTGCTGAGTTTTTATTCTTTGTTTGGCAAGCCTATTATCTTTAAAATGCTGTGCACAGTCTTTGCTCCAGGTCAGCAATCTCCTTCTATTTTTGTATTTTTATTGTCAGATGTTATCTAAAATGTTAGAATTACACCATCAAAAGTAATAGGGACATGACTTTTAAAATCTTTTCATTTTTGTCTATGAAGAGTAATGTTTACTTAAAGTGCAATCTAAAATAAACCCCCATAAATGCAAACTGGTGCAGCCGCTCTGGAAAACTGTGGAGGTTCCTCAAAAAATTAAAAATAGACCTACCCTATGACCCAGCAGTAGCACTGCTAGGAATTTACCCAAGGGATACAGGAGTACTGATGCAGAGGGGCACTTGTACCCCAATGTTCATAGCAGCACTCTCAACAATAACCAAATTACAGAAAGAGCCTAAATGTCCATCAACTGATGAATGGGTCAAGAAATTGTGGTTTATATACACAATGGAGTACTATGTGGCAATGAGAAAGAATGAAATATGGCCCTTTGTAGCAACATTGATGGAACTGGAGAGTGTGATGCTAAGTGAAATAAGCCATACAGAGAAAGACAGATACCATATGTGTTCACTCTTATGTGGATCCTGAGAAACTTAACAGAAACCCATGGGGGAGGGGAAGTTAAAAAAAAAAAAAAAGAGGTTAGAGTGGAAGAGAGCCAAAGCATAAGAGACTCTTAAATACTGAGAACAAACTGAGGGTTGATGGGGAGTGGGAGGGAGGGGAGAGTGGGTGATGGGTATCGAGGAGGGCACCTTTTGGGATGAGCACTGGGTGTTGTATGGAAACCAATTTGACAATAAATTTCATATATTTAAAAAAATAAAAAAATAAAATAAACCCCCATAGAATAGAAAATATGGACTACATGGCAAGTATTTAACAGTAAATGAAAAATTTCACCTCATAAAAGCTATTGCTGAGAAATAACTCAGACATATTAGTGGCCATACCTGTACCAGTGGTATAGGTATAATACCTGTAATGGGTATTATATTTTTGTATCATATTTGTGTATATTTGTATGTACATGTATTAAATTTTTGTATATTTTGTATATTTTTGTATATTTTTGTGTATTTTGTATTGTATTTTGTATTATATTTTTTTATATCCCACAATCCACTCCCTTTTGTGAAACAACAGTGTACCAACTTTCTTTTGGGGTACAATCCTTTCCCTAACTCTATTTCGTTCAGCAGAACTCCTTCCACATACAGGGATAAGCATGGTAGAGAGGAAACTATTTGACCCAGTCTGGAGAATTCTAGATCTCCATAATTCTAGATCTCTAGACACAAAAGTTGTTCTATACAGGGTTCTTGAGTAACTGGGTTCAGAGCAAACCCCAAGATGTATTCAGGAGTTACCATGCAAAGAGGTTTTCTTTTCCTCCCACACTGTTGGCAGTGAGGCTATAAGCTAAAAATGTTGGAAGTCACTTGTATGAGGCCTGAGAATAAAAACAACATAGTGCCGAGGTGAGAACCGTTATTGTTCAGTCCCCTGCATCACACCGCCCTTTTATTTTCACATGTAATTGAAAATACTTTCTCTTTGTACAATCACCTTTTAGTTGGGTCTCCCACTACAATCAAACAAATAACTTCTAAATAACAACTGGTTAATCAATCCATACTCTATTTTATGTACCTTATTCTTTTTCATATTTATTTTATACTTTCTTTTATTATTGTCTCTTGTCTGAACTACACTCTTTAAGTTAGTAGAATTTCCTAGAAAAAGGAAATCTTTTTGGTAATTCCAGGAATATTATTCTCCACAATCTACAATAACGTTATATTGTATTTTATTTGTATGTGATTGTCATTCTCATCTACTAAAAAGTAGACCTATCTAATAATTGTTAATCATTCAGTCGGTTATTATTGACATCATGTTTGTACCTAATATAGTTAGATACTGTGAGAAATAAGCCCACTGACCCAATCAAAGGAGGTTTGCAGAGACTCAGAGCACAGTGAAGTGAGGCTTTAATCAACATTCTTGCAAAAGTGGGTGTGTGATGGACAGGTACACTTGGAGTGGTTACAGCAGGCAATTTATCTCCTAGTGTGAAGTCTCTCCCTTAATTCCTCAGGGGCTTAGTACTACAGAGGTTATAGTATTACCTGGAAATCACCTATACTCGTGTAAGGCCAAAAAGTAGTCTGATTGGAACAAATACCTCCAACAGAGACTTCAGTTCTTTGGTGCATGCTCTTTGCAAAGCCCATGAAAAATAAGCCTGCAAAATTGAGCGTGGAAGAAGAACCTGGAAGTGAAGTGTCTAAGGGTTTAGGACTCCATTGTGTGGGGGGAAAGGGTTCGTACATATTTCCAACAGACTGTAAAAAAACCTATTGTTAACTAGACAGCACAGATTTTATTTGATATTTCTGAAAATGAATCATCTCATTTACTTCTCACAGATGCTAAGCCCCAAACAGAAATCAATTTTTCCTAATTGGTTCCACCACATATATCCTATTTTAATCCTCATTATCCCTTGTAAACAACTTTTTATTAGGTAATATTTTCCAAATTGTATTCACTCACCTACCACATTCATAATGTTATTTGCATACCATCTGTGCTACTATTTAATATTTTTCTGTCAACTGGTTCAAAATCTAATTTAATTATATTTCTTTAATATATATTTAAAATAGATATATAGTTTAAAATTTTAATGGTATCTATATATTGACAGAACCCACTTTGTGTTATACAAAGATATAGATGTGGACCTTGGACAGAATATCAAATTAGAAGTGGTAGAGTTTTTATTTTAAAAACAACAATAAAACAAACAAAACCAAAGGATCAGATTTCTGGAAAAGATGGTAGAGTAGGAGGATCCTAGGCTTACCTTGGTCTCAAAGATATAGCTGAATAGCATTCTCTTCAGAGTAAATAAATCAAAAACATGACCAGAAGACTGGCAGATAAATTCCACAACTAAATGCAGAGAAGAGAGTAAGAAAGGCAGAGATGTTGTTGGGATAAATAAAGGAATCAGCAGTATTGTCCATGGGAGGGAAGGATGTCTCAGGCATGAAGAGGGGAGAGAAAGAGGCTCCCACATTGCAAAGTCCATGCACGGCAGACAAATCCCCATAACATTTGGCGTTGAAAACCAGAGGGGCCAAATTTTATGAGTTCTTACTACCAGAGGGACTTAAAACTTGGATTAAAAAAAAATGCAGCTCCATTCTGAAGCCAGGAGGGCAAGATTAAACTAAGTCCCTACCCTGAAAAGATAGCACAACAAACAACCCAGGATATATAGCATAAAGCAGTGTGGAATGGAAGGGAGAGTTATTTACTAATTTCAGAGCATGTCCTGAGGGACAGAAACCACTGGGGAACTCCTCCAGGAACAAAGAAACTGGCAGGTGCCATTTCTCTCCCCAGTCCCACAGGTTAAACACACGGCCATCTGCAGAGCTTGCTACCTAACTCGTTAGCACTGCCATCTTGACCACCAGGCTGTGCTTCTGCCACTCCACCCCTCCAGACAGCCTGCCTCAGTCCTGGCTCTGCAGGGTCCCTCCCACAAAGGAAGTGACACACAAAGCTTGCTAGTAATGCTGCTGCATCACAATGCCAGACCCCCATCCTGCACTGTGCTTTTATGGAGCCTGATGCACCCCTTTAGGGGCTCTTATGCAGAGGACTAGGAGTACACAAAGCTTGTTAGCTCAGATATCACCCAGTGCTGTGCTTAGGCAGATCCACACCTCTCCAATACACTCTTGGCCAGAGCTCATACAGGGCAATGCCACAGGTCTGGCTGGTG